AGCAACCCTAAATCCTGTCTTTGTCAAAGACATTTATTTGCATTTATTTTGCTGAGTCTCAGATGAGCTGTTTGAACAACCTGCCAAAATCGTATATACTGAAATTCCAAAGGGCTGTAGAGAATGTCAGAGAAGACTCCTTCAGTTGTTCCAAGTATATCTTATCAAGGGGATAGTAAATGGCCTTTAAAATAAAGCCGTTACCTATTCCATAATATGACAAAGGTGATTATTTCAGTGTTTCAAAAAGATAACTAAGTAGGCAAGTCAGATGGATGGTTTTAAATGTAAATGTGGAGTCTTTCTCTGGAAGTCAGATAGCAAAATGAATTTAAATTCAGATACAAAAATGGAAGAAATATATCTCAAAGGCCCTACAGAATTTATAAATATTGAAGTGTCGTTAAATATATATATTTCCCAGCAAGTTCTAGGAGGGAAGAGTTTATCAGTGGGCAGTCTGTTTAGGAAATCTGAATCACACAGTGATGTAAAGAAATCTTCTGGAAAGGGGGTGGAAATGGATTCTTACAAAAGTTGCAGGACTATATTCTGATTAGAGATGGACAGTGGCTCCCCAGCCCAGTCCATGCCCAAATAAGAGCATATAGATTGCTTCCAGAACCAGGTGTGTCTTTCAGAGAGATTCTTGTCCGAACCTTGCCCAGGCCCAGGCCAGTATTTGTATGTCTTTGGGAGGAAACTCATACCTATAAATGGGAAAATTCAAATGACAATGGGGCAACTGCACCTGCCAACAAGGTGTCGGGGGGCTCTAAAGTAGAGGCAGGATACAAGGGCATCTTGCCAGGGCTGGAGTAATTCACAAAGCTGGGCATTCTCTTTTATATTCCTCCTTCCTTTTCCAAACTGTCAGTGAGAAAGCCCCAACCTCACCAGTGAGTAATATAGTTTCCTAAGGCAGTCACAGGGGAGTGAGTGAGTGAGGCTTTTTAAGAAAGCCAAGGGGTGTGGTCCTCTTCCATTCCTTCTTAAAAGGGCAGTGCAGAGAATCTGCTCCTCCTTCACCCTTCCTGGACTTCCTCTTCCTGCCTTTCTCCTGTGTCAGACTAAATATGTAGGCTCTGTGCAGGGTGCCACTCCACCCCATGGGCAATTAGCAGCTACTTGCTCCACCCCGTGATCATCCCAGAAATGCACATACAACTCTGTTTCAGTTAATGCTTCTGCTTTTGTCCAAAGACAACACACATCCCTAATTCTCATTGTCCCAGGAATCAGGCAACTTTGAATTAAAGTCAGGAATGGCTAAGGTCAGAGAAGATGTAATAGCTAAACATCATGCCATTTTTGTTGTTTCTACCAAAGCAAGATTGATGGAGCCAGTCAGAGTAAATCTTCTTTTCCTGTTAGAAATCAATAATGTTACATGGTAGGAAATACAAAAGCAGTTCAATCCAACATATTCCACATTTGAAGATATAAATACATAAGAGGGAGCCTAAACATCAACATGGTTGACTTTTCACCTGATGAAATCACATGCCAGTGGTACCCCAAAATTCACCAGAGAGAAATCACTTTATTAGGTCTCTTTGTCTGGCTGAGGTAAGCAACAAATGGAGTGAGGACTGACTACCTCTTCCTATTCTCCATTTTAAGATGATAAATCAGTGCAAATTCACAGTCAGCTCTATGATTAGACAGAATGAGCTGACCATCTCAGAATGCCTACTGTATAGTGGAGGACAGCTACACAGCTATTCTC